GTGCTGAGACTCCTCTTTCCATCTAATTCAAGTCACTCTGCCAAGAACAGTGGGTATGTGGTTAGAAGGGACATGCTTCTCTGCCAGAGGGGGACTCTTGGTTCAAGAGCTCATATCAAATGCTGTGAGCATTTATTAGACCTAGCTAAGGACTACAGAGGTGGGAGAGAAGAGAATTGGGAATGAGGGTTGATGATATCTTTATCATCATCACCTTATTTAACAATTACTATTCTCATGTGGGACATCTGGGTCATGTGTAAATCAATGCAGATCAAAACCAGTGGGATTTTTCATTGAACTTTTCTGTGGAATAATTTGATTTTTCTCCCTCCTTACATTATCTGTTTCAGAAATCTACGGCAAGGATAGAATATCTGAATATACAGAATCTAACAGTATGTTTCTTTGAGACTTAATTTCACTCTTACAGTAGAGCCAAACTTTTTTTTGTGATTGTCAATCAAACACCGTTGTGGTGTATTTTAGGTGTTGAAGCTGAATACAGCCTGCATATATTCCTGTCAACTACTAGCTAGTTCTGAAAAGCAACTGGTTTTATGTTTTGGTTGTTTCTTATGAGTTTGTGAGTTTGTTTCATTTGTTGTTTACCTTTTTTTTTTTTTTAATGTTTAGGCTAGATCTGGGATGGTTAATTTATCTGCAAATATATGGTAGCTTCAGCACAGAAATATTTTTCAAATGGCATAACTAGTGTCATATAACAAATATGTCATAAAATACTTTAATTCATACAGAATGAATCTAATTATTTTATGAGTATGATTTCAATGCATTTTCATGTAAAATTATGTCAATGGCTTCATATCAGTATTACCAACTCATATGGAGCAAGGACATAGCGCTTTAATTCTTTGTACTTTGAATTTCCTTTCTTTTCTCTGTATTTCAAGGGCTCTGCTCTTTAAATTTTTGATATGAAGCAGGAGGCATGTATTTTCCAAAGGCTTGAGATGTAAATTGAAAGGAAAACTGATTGGTTTTGGCACTTCATATTATTAGAATTTTATTGTAGTTGTGATATAATTGCCCTTTGGGCTGGGGTTTAACTGCACAGAATATGGAGACATTTATGGTAATTTAACAAATTACTGTATTGCAAGATAGGTGAATCAGACACAGAAAGATTTGCTTTTTACAGGGTTTTTTTGTTTGTTTGGGGTATTTTGGCTCTTTCCATAACTTACAAAAGAGCAAGACTTCCAAAGAGATGGGTAACTTAACCATCTACATGTTTTTTAATGTTATTTTAGAAATCCTTAATAGTATATATGGTTCTGGCTTTGATTCTTTCCAGCACAGGGGAAGTATGCTCCTATAGTTACATACTGACATAATAATTTGGCTGATTAAAAATTAAGGCTGTGTCCTGAGAACAGATTTATTTTAATACCCCATTGCTTAATCTGCAAGTAGAGGAAATTAATCCCCTCCCATTCCCCCAAAAGTGGGTTTTGGGGTTTATCCTTGGGAAGAAGACTGCAGTTTATGTTTGGGAAAAGACTTCATGCATTCTAATAGCCTTAAACACATTTGTGATTAATTCTGGCTGTGCCGTGAATAGGAAATAATATATGGGGTGTAAATACAGTGGTGTAGCCATAATGTATTAATTTATAGAAAGCTGTAGATTGAACCTATGTGATATGGAGCTGAATATAAGATGATAAAATCCTACTATGGCATCTTAATAGTATCACTTTCAAGACAGGTCTGAACCACACTAGAACTGAAATTTCCATACTTTGTAGTCTGTTCTTTGGCTTGCTCACAGTGCAGTGATCTTAGCTAGCAAAACCAAGCAATGTCTCCTTGACAGAAGAGCAAAACAGAAGAGCTTATATCCTGGCCATCAGCCAGCCCTATGCTGTAGGAAATTCCCCTTCAAACAATCTTCTTCTCTTTCTTATTCTGGTGCAACTGCTTTTAGGGACCATGTTTTCCACTCAGTAAGCCTACAACAACCATTTCCCAGCCTTCCTTTTGGCTGAGAAGGAACTAAGCTGCCCTCCTTCGTTAACCAGTAAAGATGATTGCTCTGTCAGTTCTAAAGTCCCCCAATGCACACAGCTTTATATCCCGTGACGTTTAGGTTTTTCTGACTAATGAAAATGCTAGTAGAGTATACTGATTCCCTTTGGCTGATTTGATGTTTTTTCTTAAATCTGAACTTTCTTTTGTGTAACTTCTACCTTTGTGTATGTAGTTGATAATTATCTGCTTTCAAAGGAGGAGAGAAATCTTGCAAGGGTTTGCTTCTTGTCACATACTTTCTTCCTCCTTCTAAGGCCCGGTCCACAGTTGTTTTGAGGACTTAGTGACTAAAATGCACATGGCATCTCTCAGCAAAAATCTTGGCTTCTTAACTAGACTCTTTGAAAAGCCAGTGTTTTAGTACCATGATATTCTCTATTTCTTTCTCAGTCGTCCAAATGTCAAATAGACTACTGAGATTTGTATTTCAAATGCCTTGCAAGCAGATGGAATATTAAAACATCTGAGACTAATCTGAAATCAAAGAAATTATGTAATTTCTGTGAAGGTGTTTGTTCTGTCTCAGTTACTTACAGGGCAGTGGTTCATTGCCAGAAAATGGGCTCTGAAATAATTTGCTGGTTTAAGGATCTGTTCTCAGAAAGGGATATTTTTCTTCTTAGCACTTCACTGAGACTTATGATATATGGTTTGAGTCTCTGAATCCTCCACGAATTTCTTTGTACCTTTGGTCAGTAATTTTAACAGTTGATGTTTTAGGGTTTCTCAACTGTTATAATGTGCTATAATTTTGTACCCGAATATGATGGCTAGAGTGTGTGGTGTTATCACTAAATGACATATATGTTATGTTGAAAAATTTAAGTGCTATGGAGGCTAAGTAAATATCAGACAGCCAGGAAAGGTCCACTGTGCAAGAATTTGTCTTGCGGGGACAGCTTGAAATGTTCAGTGGAGGTTGTATAAAACTGCTGGGGAGGGTCAGGTAACAATGGAACCTGGTTCTTGTTGAGAGACTTGACATGAAATTCTCCATAGGATACCATGCCCTCTATGAAACACTGGAATGGGTTGCCCAGAGAGGTAGTGCAGGCCCCATCCCTGGAAACATTCAAGGCCAGGTTGGACGGGGCTCTGAGCAACCTGATCTAGTTAGCAGTGTCTTTGCTCACTGCAGGGGGGTTGGACTAGATGACCTCTAGGGGTCCCTTTCAACCCAAAACATTCTATGATTCTGTGATTCTATTCATCAGATGGCACACTTCAGCCCTTCTGGTATCCTCTCCTGTATCAGAAATAGGGTGACCAGTAGGAGTAGGGAAGTGATAGTGCCCCTGTACTCGGTGCTGGTGAGGCCACACCTTGAATACTGTGTTCAGTTTTGGGCCCCTCACTACAAGAAAGATGTTGCGTTGCTGGAACATGTCCAGAGGAGAGCAACCAAGCTGGTGAGGGGTCTGGAACACAAGTCATATGAGGAGCGGCTGAGGGAACTGGGGTT